ATATATATATATATATATATATATATATATATATATATATATATAAAGAGAGACAGAGATTGGTCAAATAATAAAGCTAAATATCATGATAAATGAAAGTAATGAAATGACATTTTATAGGTCGTGGACAAAAAAGTCTTTAATAATATATCATTTTTATCATTAGAAATAATATTGAATTCAAAAAATACTAATAATTCATATAAAACCATTTTAATAGAATATTTCTAATTGCAAAATCAATCAATAATCATTTTTAAATTAATAATTCATATATTCCACCATCTCAGCTCAGGTAATGTTTTTCATTACTGTTTTAAACTTTTACGGTTAAAACAATTTTTTTGGAACCATCAATTTTGGAATCAAAAACCCATATTGGTTATAGCTCGAGATCTTATTCTTGTTTTAGATGTAAGAAAATGCTTGAGACTCATACACTCAGTATTAGGTAATAAGAAGTCAATAATGTATGAAAATCAATAGTAGTTTTGAAAATTAAATATAGGTATAAGTTGGACTCTTTCATATGGTGGATAAGTTTTTATTCCAAATGTGATTTTTTTAATAAAATTGTATCTCTTTTATTTACTGATTTTTTCGAAAACCACTATATACTATAAAATTTTGGGCCCCTATTTCTTGTGGGTCGTGGGCGTACGCCCAAACCGCCCTCCCCAGGAACGGCCCCATACACACACTCAAGGTGATCTCGAATGAAAAATAGAACTCCTTTAACACCAATATTCAACTTGGTCTCGTTTGAAAACTCAATTAATTTTTTCGAGTCAAACATGTTTATATGTTCATAAATCATACTCAAAATATAAAAAATTATCGAGCTCGAGACACAAAAGTTAATCAATCTCGAGTTCGAACATATACAAAAATTATAATACTTGAAGTTTAGATATAATTTATAACTTAAAATTGTTAAACAAGCACCAAACTCAAACGTTGTAAATTTTTGAGTTCGAGCTCTACCTTGAAATAGTTATTAGAGATCGAACTCGAGTCTAGTGTTAACTTTTCGAGTTCGAGCTCGAACATTGAAAAAACATATTCGAGCTCGAGCCTTTCTTTGAAATACTTATTCAAGATCGAGCTTGAGTCAAGTATTTTTTTTTACGAGCTGGGCTAAAATAATTTGCGTACTCGCGATCCATTTCGGTCCCTAAACTAGAAGCCTTGTGTTCCGCCCTTGCTTTACCATGTAAGATTCTTCGTTCTTGTTATGTTCACATAGTAAGGCAATTGAACCAGTAAACGCTTATCAAGGTAAGTGTATAATAACCGCATATCATGTGCACTGAGTAGAGTCGCACATTGGCAATGATAGACAAGGTAATAATACTCGTAGCAAAAAGACAAAGGTACAAAAAAGCTAAAGAACTGAATTCTCACTTAGACAAAGTTTACATAAATGTCTTACGTATTTACGTAAAGCCTATTTAAAAAAAAATCTTTATGGAAATCTGCGTGCATGTGTATATATATATTTTGAAAATCGGATTTACATGAATACATAAACTATGTCTAAAAATAAGAATTTGATTGATGAATTTGGTTAGAGGTTGTTTGACAGTTGCTGAACGGTTTGATGCAAAACGATTAAGTGGTCAGAATGATTAAGAGACTCTTATTATATAGTGCAAAATAAAATATAATTGTTTGGTAAATATTTACAACGAAATCATGGTGCTGAATGGTTAAAGGGAGGCCCAAGATACAAAATCATTCACAAGGTTTTAGAACCATTAAGAGACAAATTTTTTTTGACAAACAAGATCCACCTACTAACGATTTAGAGATTGTCTTCTAATAAAACTATTAAAAGGTAAACAAACAATCCATAAAAAAGAAGGGGGTATTTTGGTAAAACAAATCAATAAAATGTCACAAACTAGACTTTACTTTCCAAAACCAAAGGACATTTTGTCGGTGATGACTTTATTTTGAGGGAAGAAGGGTGAGTTGGAGATTTCTGTTTGGCATTTTTTAGATATACGAGGAATAATTAATAGTAATTTTGTTATATGAAAACCACATTAAAATTCCATTTTAAAAATAAAATGTAATAAAATTTAGTTTAATTTCTAAATTACTGTAACAATTTGTTTTAAACAAAGTCTTAAATTTTCATATTTAAGGTAATTAAGTTTTAAACAATTATATTTCATTTTGTATCATAAAAACATGTTAATCATTCTGACCACTTAATTATTTTACATTAAACCATTCAGCAACTGCAGCCAATTCCTTACATTGTATTAAGAGGAAAAAAATTATTTGTTATATTTAAATAAACGTTACACCTAATTTTTATGGAGTTAAAAAACTATATATTTCATTGTAAAAACCAAAATGATGGAGACAAGGTAAGACGTAAGACCATCTATATTCCTGCAATTCATTTACACTTTTAATTGTGCCAACATTAGCTTTTGCAATTATCTTTCATACACTTGTAATTCACCCACACTTTCAAAAGTGGTCCCTACTACAACCTTTATTAACTATTTTATAAATTATTTATATATACATTCTAATTATTTTTAATTAATAACACGACATATTATTTACATTTACATTCTGATTACGTAATTATAAAATTTAATGTTTAAAATAACATATATACATACATACATATAATATTATATTATATTATATATTTTATATTTTTTTAAATAACATCTATACATACATAGAATATTTTCATATAAAAATAATTAATGTAATTAATAAATATATTAATATTATTAATTTATAAAATCCATTGTTTATATAAAAAATAATTTAATTTATAACCACAAGGGTGGTGCCTGATTGGTTTGAGCTTGGCTCCAAATGTCAAAAGTACCAGAAGGTCTCAGGTTCAAATCCAAGGAGAAATAAAAATCCCCTTGTGGTCACGGAGGTTCAAATGCGGTAACTCCGAGCTATCTGCAAAGCAGGTGGTCGTTCTGTGATTAGTCGGCTCGCATAACGGGTTGGGTATCCAGGTTAATAAAAAAATAAAAAGTAATTTATTTAAATAATTAGAAAAAAGGGAAATTAGAGAGGAGGTTGGTGGCTCACATGGTTCTCAAAGTCAATTGTAAATTTTTCAATTGTTTTTTTTACAAGCCAGCTACAATTCTGACAAAATTTCATTTGTAAGGCTTATGTGGATGTTCTAAGATAGTGATTTTTTTTTAATCTATATATTAATAAAACGTACAAAATAATTATGAAATCATTAAAAATTACATATTTTCATTTACGTTAACAATAACAAACTAAAGAGGAACCAAAGGGTCTTTGATCTAGCGGTATCGTAGCTTTTGGTCTCATAGGAGGTCAGAGGTTCAAACCTCACCAAAGGTGAGGAAAGTGTGTAATGTATTTGTTGCATTGTTGTATATAAATATTATATACTTACAAAAAACTATGAAGAAATAAAAATTCTCTTGTAGTCACGAATGTTCAAATATGTGACTCCGAGTTATGCATGAAAAGCGTTTTGCCCTGAGATTAGTCGGCTCACATAACGAGTTAGATATCCATGTTAATTAAAAAAACTAATTAAAAGAATGATATATTATATTTTTCAAGATACTTAATCATTTGAGAACTTTATATATTATGATATCTGTAAAAACTATAATCTTAAGATATTGGTTTACATGATTTTTTTTTCCATCTAAGACTAAATTTAATATATTGATTAACATATATTTGTTTTACAATGTGTCTATTTCATAAGTACCCAATTCATAATATTAAACTTTTTAGTTATATTTTGTTTTGCACAAGGATAAAAATATTCATATTATAAAACAAATATATGTAAAACATGCATATGTGAAATAAATAAATACACCAAATCCAAATTGTAATATAAAATAACACATGATACACCAGTTTTGAATGTTATCATAATTTTACTGGTTTAAAATAAAAATCCTGTATATATAAAATCATTTAAATGTGAATAATATAGACATTTATGTGTTTTGCACGCATATATTAAAATAATTGAAAATAAAAGGATGCCATCATTGACTTACTAACTTCGATTTAAAACTGGAATTATTGTTTTTTAAATATAAGCTTAACATTTTTAAAATAAAAATATTAAACCACAAATTATTTTTCTGTTAAAAAATAATAATAAATCATATAAAATTAATGGATTCGTGGTCAAATCCTCTCATATTAATTAAGAAAGGGAACAAATGTTGTATTATAAGGTATTAAATACTTCTTCTATCATACGCGTTTTAAACCATGAGTTTTGATATGTAGACAAAACGAATAATATCATGTACGATTAGCCTAATATGGTAGAAATTGTATTAGAACTGATCCTGTCGGGTTATAAAAATTTACACTTTACCCCCTTCTAGATATAATTTTTACACTTTACAAACTTCTCCCTAATATAAGGCCACACCTCCCCCGGTGTCTGAACGACATTTAAATTCCAGCACAAATTTCTGCATCTCACGCCACAAAACACACATTAACCCGCACAAGCAAAATTTCTCGACTTTCGGGGCCTCAAATCTTGGGCTTTCTTCTCAAAATTTTTGATCTCTTCCATTGAACAAGTTCAATCGAAGAGACGGAAGAACAATATCGAAAAGTTGTTGTATAGTTGCGAGTTAGAAACGTTGGGGGATTTGTTGTGTGAATTTTACGAAATTTTGAGTTTTTCATTATATTGTTGTATTCAATGACGGAAATTGGAGCGCATAAATGGAGGATTATGCGATTTGTTATGATGATGTTGTTGAACTTTGTGTTAGCTTCGATGTTCGCTTCGGCGGAAAGAAGCGCAATGATAGAAGACGAAACGTCAGTTGCAGGTTATGGTTATGGTGATGGCGATGAGTCGAAAACAGGGTATTTAATGAAGTTGGTGAACTCTTTGTTTCAAACAGATGGATCGGGTTATCATCATGTTTGGCCTGTAAGTTTTTGATCATCTATGATTTAATTTCCAGTGAAAATTGTCTGGCCTGTAACATTTTTGGAGTACTCGTTATGCAGATTGCAGAACAAACAGTTTCACTTCTTGTTTTTCTTTGCAATTTGAATACGTATATGTTAAAATAGATTATAACTGTAGCTACTTCACATTATGTGAATTGAGTTAGTGAAGTAAATCAGTTTGTTATGTCTTGTGGAATTGAAAGAAATAATTTTATATCTTTCAGTTCATAGGACCTCAATCGAAGTGAAGGTAGATAAAGAAATGGGGTTGATTTTAAGGACAAATCTAAATTAAATCGGAGTTTAACACATAGTTTATATCATCCTAATTCTTGACTTTGTTCATAAGAGTGATGCTATGTTAAATCCACGCTCAAAGTTGAATGGATCAATCGAGTAGGCAGTGAGTTGGGAACAAATCAACCTGATGCCACCGCTTAATTTGCCTGCAATTGAAGCTATCTTGAAGTGTGTACAGACATTTACATTAAATTTTGTTTGCAGGTTGTGATTTCATTTTTTTTTACTGCTATCATGGGTCTTATTCAGTATATGGAGACAAAATCCACCCAGTGGAAAATGAATCTAGAAGGGCCCCACAGGACATTATTCGAATTACACGTTTTTGTTACCTTTTTTTTTGCAGTAACAATAAATATAGTATTTCCTTTTGACACTTGCTGCACTCCTAAAAGGAGAAAGGTCTTGCCAACCATGGTCAGTGAACATTGATGCTATCTACTCAACATAAAGCTTGGAGATTCATAAAGTTGATCATCTTTGATATAAAAGTTGTTTTTCACCACAAGAATGTGATATCCGTTTTTGTCCATTGAAATGGCAATTAATTTTTCATTTTGCTTGCAACATTTTTCAGGAAAGGTTTCAAGCTAAAACATATTGTTTGTTCATTAATTATCCGCACGAACAATCGAACCCAAGGGTGGGGGTATATTCGGGGACTATCTGCTTCCTGTTACTCAGTGGGTTAATTCTTGACATAGTTGGCATCATTATGATTATAGCTTGCCACGATGTTGGACCACATTTCCCATTACTCATGATTGAATGGTATTTAAGGACCTGACAAATCAACAAATATTCTATTTAATACATATAAAGTGAAGTGTTGAAATTGTTAAATGAGGGAGGGAGTTACCAGAATTTATTTATTACTTTTGGATAGTGTTGGTTAACTTAGCCATTTACTTGTATAAAAATAGAATGTTAAATACAATGATGTAGTTACATGCACAGATGTTGCATTAGTCTCTGTTTCATATTAGGCAAATCAAGAATCATGTTCAAAAGCATGAAGACCATGCTCTTGAAAATCTCCCCTTCTAACACAAAAATCTCCCCATATAGACCACCAGGTGATAAAAATGTGCCCAGGATATGGACATAGAAGAATGTTTACATGAATCAATGCATCTTTCTTTATTCTTGTGATGGTTGACCTTGCCTTATGTATCAAATAAATAAAAAGTTAAATTATTTCAGAATGAAAACATAACATGAACAATCATATCATGTGGTTCACAGGAAATGGAACTTGGGTGGAGAATTGTTCTTGGTAGCTTCATTGGATTTTGCGGAGCAGCATTTGGGAGTGTAGGTGGAGTTGGAGGCGGTGGTATATTTGTGCCGATGCTTACCTTAATCATTGGTTTTGATGCAAAATCTGCTACTGCTATTTCAAAATGTAAGAGGAAAGCATATCCCACACATCAATTTATTCATTTAGATTCACATGTTCTGTTTTCAATGGATGAACTGTCTAGTTATGATATCTACGACGTTGGGAGCTAATGCAAACATATGAGAAGTTTGATCTTTAAATCATTACAACATAAGCATACTATCCTTGGTTTACTTTAGCCCTGTAAAGTATTTCTCTTGCCTATTGTCACCCATTGAGGGAGAACATGATTTTAGTTGCTTGAATGGCACTTTATAAAGCTTTCTAGAGTGACCATGGCTTCTGTCCGTGAAAAAGGTAATAAGAAAATAAGAAACTGTATTCATTGCTTTTGCTTTTCTTCTCCAGGTATGATCATGGGTGCTGCAGCCTCAACTGTTTTCTACAATCTTAAGCTAAGGCATCCAACACTTGATATGCCCATCATTGACTATGACTTGGCACTGCTTATCCAACCAATGTTGATGCTAGGAATTAGTATTGGAGTTTCGTTCAATGTCATCTTTGCCGATTGGATGGTCACAGTTCTGCTAATTATCCTTTTCATAGGTATTCTTGTGCTTCCACACAATTGTGTTTCTCCCTTTGATGTTTGCCGAAATGACCGATCATGTATAAATGGTAAATCTGCAGGCACATCAACCAAAGCCTTCTGCAGAGGTGTTGAAACATGGAAAAAAGAAACAATCATGAAAAAGGTAGTAAACAGTGTAGTTTTATGGTATTCGGATGCTTAGTCCTTAGAATCAATACATGCCTCCTTTAAAGTATAGAACTTTAATGAACCAATTGCTAAAGCAGACGTAAATATCGCGCCCACAAATTCAATTTTTTTACTCTCTTGAGTTTTTCGGTTTCAGGAGGCTGCTAAGCGTTTGGAGACCAATGGTAGGTTCATTTGGCCCTTCTCTCAATTCATGCAACCCCACAAAAACTTCCTTCTTTTTGCTCAATGCAACTACCTCCTTATCTACTATGTCAGGAGATGGTGCTGAAGCAGAATACAAACTTCTTCCTGGTGGTCCTAGCAGTGGAACTAAAACCAAACCTGAACAATCATTGAAAGAAGAGGTGAGATCCCCTCTGAAAAGCTTGCTTCCATTTTGTGGTTATTAACATATTCAATATATATGAACATCTCAGGTCAGCATCCTTGAGAATGTTTGTTGGAAAGAACTTGGGCTTCTTGTTTTTGTTTGGGTTGCATTCCTTGCTCTGCAGATTGGGAAGGTAGTTTATAGCAGAATTTTTGCATTATATTCTAAAGAATATTCTTAATTTCACATGGTTATGTTATTCTATGAACTTACAGTTCTGTACATTGGTGACAGAATTATACACCTACGTGTTCACTATGGTATTGGGTGCTCAACTTATCTCAGGTATCCTTACAAACCTAAGCATATATGTATATAATGCAACTTATGGATAGGTCAGAGCTAAAATAGATAAAAGCATCACCCTTATTCAGTTACGTACCTGATCAAAAAAAATCTGTTAATCACATACTTATATTCTCATAATCATATCAATGACATTACTTTCTTCCAATTTATATCAAATTACTTAATTTGAATCATCAATAATGGTTGAGAAGTTAACATTATCTTTCTCTAGTTATCCTTTCTCTCATCCACTTTCCCTAATTGGCCGTTCCTCTTGGCTAATCTAAAAACTGGATGAAAGTGTAATGATATGACTGTGAAAGGATAAGTGTAATGATATGACTGTGAAAGTATAAGTTTGTATCAGTAACTCCTTTTGTTCAAGTTTAATCTATTTTGCATATGCCCGATTGTTTCTTTCAATCTCTGCCTCCTTATATCAAATTGCTATCGGCAATGCTGACTTTATATTGACTTTAAAAACCCTAAGAACTAGCTTATCAAATTTGTACTCGTCATGTAGGTTCCAATTTCTTTCGGGGTATCCGGGTATGAGGCAGTTTGCCTATATAAGGGATCCAGAATTATATCATCGAAGGGAGATTCATCCACCAACCTTGGTGTAGGACAATTAGTTTTGTATTGCTCATGTGGCATTCTAGCTGGTATGGTTGGAGGATTACTTGGTTTAGGTGGAGGTTTCATCATGGGTCCCCTCTTTTTGGAGCTTGGAGTACCTCCCCAGGTGAGTTTCTGTTTCTTCTATTTTACTATGAACCTAATCAGCCCTGATAAACTCGGTGGCCACAATTGTTGTTTTCGTCTGGAGTCGAACCCTAGACAGATGAGATATTCCATCACATCACCTAGGACCTAAACCACTATGCCATAACCCTTGTGGTTTACTACTTGAAAGCTTAATGGAAAATAAAATTGTACGTAAAAATTTGTTGGGCAATTCATATTGTCTGGTCTCAGAGTTTCTCCAAAATGTTTTGCAGGTTTCAAGTGCCACAGCCACGTTCGCAATGACTTTCTCGTCATCTATGTCTGTTGTAGAATATTACCTTCTAAAGCGGTTCCCAGTTCCTTATGGTAAGTGCACTCTTCATTCATTCAATCAATCGAGCTCTCCCCATGATTCATTGGTTTTAAAGGTTTCTCATTTAGTTGATGTGAGGGAGATATGTACACGAGACTCACAAAACGAACAGGGGTTGTTTGGTTTGGGCAGAGGAATGAAAATGAAAATGACAGAACCTGGAATGAAAATTTGGGCTTCTGGGGGATGAGCCCATTATATTATATAAAACCAAACAATTTCTTTCATTTTCATTCTCATTGATTACTGCTTAATACCTCTAACCAAACACCCCCTAAAAAGAATGAAACCGAAACTAGTTTTCTTATTCTTGGTGTATCTGGCAGCCCTTTTCTTTCTTATTGTGGCGACAATTGCTGCTTTCGTCGGGCAACATGTCGTGAGAAAGCTGATTATGATTCTAGGACGGGCGTCACTGATCATATTCATCCTCGCCTTCACTATATTTGTTAGCGCAATATCATTAGGTGAGTATCTTGGTTTGGTCACTCAAATATACTTGTAGGGAAGTTATTGTTCATATTTATCAACCTCCCAAAATAAAATAACAAATCCCATCTGGTTTAACAGGTGGAGTTGGAATTTCAAACATGATCGGGAAATTTGAGCGACATGAATACATGGGATTCGAGGACTTATGCAAGTATGACCTCAAAAATTAGGTAAAACTTTTCTGCAAACCAGAATTTATTCAGTTCTTTATGGTATGGTGACTTGTATCTACATTCCATATTCTATACCTATAAGTTTATGACATAATTCATCTATGCAACATCCAGTTTAGATTTAAAAAAGGGCAGTGGAATGATGGTCCTGAGGCCACATCCAGATATTTGATTGCTTATCTTTGGGGTATGGATGTTGAAGATGGCTGCTGGGATTCAGATGTGAATACACTGATGATGATGATGATGATTGTTGCACTTTGTTACAGACTTCCTTTTATGCAAGTGAAAGCTTTATTTTAGTAACTCTGTTCATAATTTCATTTGTCTGTAATTTAACTCTTGTTTCAAGTTGATTCGGATTTCGTCGTTAGAAATAAAAGAGTGGCAAATTTGCGGGTTTTATTTTCATTTATGTATCATTCTTGAATCGGGTTTCATGAAAACCGAAAAGAGATTGAAATGGAATGAGATTTTGGAACTTTTATCCCGATCCTTAGTAAGATCAAAGGAACAGGAAAAAGTATGCAGGACACAACCTTATATTCCCTGAGCAGGTTCTACACTGTGGAAACGCTCTTTAATGGAACTTTAGCTTTAGCTGGTCGTGACCAAGAAACCACCGGTTTCGCTTGGTGGGATCACATCCATAGAAGCTGTTGGCAGGTTATTATCGAAGATTCATTTAGGACTTCTCCAAGATAGTCGATATTTAATTTTTTTTTTAAGATTTTTTATTTTAATTTTTCAGCATTAATTATATTTTACAAATTCATTATTTTAGTTACATATAAAATAACTGTGGAAGCTTAATGGACATAGCAAAACTTAAAAAAATAAGACATTATATGTACAGACAAAAAAATTAAAATAATAGTGACCACACATTGACTTTGTTTCTTTGACTTACGTAAATTAAAGAAAATATATATTTAAATTTATTCCCACTTCATAATTTATATTTTTTATTGCTAATAACCCTAAAGTCAAGCTTTTATTTTAAGACTATTTTTAAACAAACCTTTTATATCGTCAACTTAAATGTAAAAATGAGGATTTTGATTTTGACAAAATAATTCATAAAAGGGTTTATTTGACATATATGGATGGTTTATTTAAGGCGTCGTTTATCAAATGCTGACCGGAGGCGAAATATCTTGTGAAAAAGAGAGTTATAAGACGGAAATCGTAAGAAGAAATCTGGACCCTTGATCATCTTTAACATTAAAACCCACCAATGAATCATGTTCGATCCAGTGCATCTCATCCTAATATGCATCTAAGGGTGGAGATCCGTTCTTACGTTTTTTTATCTTAATACTATGATCTCGAATTTGGAGAGAAAAAAAGAAAGTGAAATAGTTTTTTTATTTGTGCCTCGAAAGAGATTAGAAAAGAAAATAAGAAAATAAATTTTCGTGTTTTTGAAGAGGAGAAAAAGGTGTCATTTTTACTAATACCCCTTGAACATATATCCTTTAATAACAACCTGCTAACTGGATAAGTGTTTACCTGATTACTTACCATATACCGAATGAGCATGACAAGGATTGAAAATTTCATCTGATAAGTGAGGGGGATGACTGTTACCCAATTAGCGCTAATAGGTAAGAGACATTAACCAACAATTTTACTATGTCATTTTTCAATGACTGAGAATTTTACCCAGTAAGATAAGTGATGATGATAACTCTTACTTGATAAAGATTTAACTGATTAACAATAGACCTGCTACCTTCGCCTTCTAAAAGTCTTGAGCTTGAGATCGAATTCTTCCAAACAGACGGTTGTCTGTTTAGTAAACAATCCCTTAGTCTCTACACATTTTAAGGTTTAAACTTTAATTTATCGTATTAGAGGATCTCCAATAAATTCTCCAAAATAAAGATTTTGGCCAGAAGTTAGTTACACGAATACAAACATAAAACTTTAATAAGTCATACTTACGTAAAATTACTTGTAATCTTGAATTTTAAATAATATACATCAATAATCAGTACTTCATGTATAAAAATGGTTTTTAAGAGTTTTTATCAAATATTTTATAATATAATATAAATTACTGATTAATAGACGTGCTTTCAAATGTAGCACCTGCATGTTCAAAACAAACCAGATGGAAACCGCAACATTCAAAGAATATGGTAATATACGTTTATAAGATTTGAGAATGGATGGAATCGTGGAAATCTAACAGTTTTGCTAACAAGGGGGTGTTTGGGATTTGATTATAGAGAGAGAAAAGTGCTTTTTTTTAATTTATTTCAGTCTGATTTTAGAACTTTTTAGATTCATCAACCACGGGAAAGCGGTACCTTTGCTACTACTTCGAGTATCCATTCTCGTCCTCCTTTCGCACACAGTAATCGTAAACCTAATACCCGTGAATTGTGTTTTCTCATAAACCCTTTTGGGGGTTTTCTCGACCTTCAATTTTTACGTTTTTGTAGACGAATTTGATACCTGTAAACCACAATTGGGGCTGCAGAAGAAACTTGATTCTCTAAACAACCGGAAGATGTGGAGTTATAGTCGTCAAAGAAACCGCTTTGCTTCTGGTAAATCGGACAGCAGAAGGAAGAATACGACTGGTGGTTCTAGAATGGAGTGGAAACCAAAGGCAAAGGTATGAGATGATTTCAATTTCTTTTCAGTTCGCTGATTAGGTTTAATATGTTGAAAGATGCTCTAGCTGGTCTATGTGGTTCATGAAAATTGACCTACATGCAAACTTTAGGGTCCCCATGGCGCCGAGGGAGATGACACCATTGGATTTAAACTCGACACATGTTAAACCTAATGGTGATTTTAGAGTCGTCAATCATTTTTGATGTAATTGTGATTTACTTGGGATGTGACGATGCAACATAATGTGAGTTAGGAACACTTGATCGCCATAAGGCGGGGGTCAAGACGGCAACGGCCCCTTGTGGGGTCTAAGGGGCAGCGCCCCTGACGGTGGTACCAAAAAGTATATGGATTTTATGAAGGGGATTATTTAGGAGACTAAGAGCATGTTTGTTAGCAACGTAATGAGCTTGATGGCAGCTTATTCGGTCAAAAAGTGGCTTGTTCATTAAGCTTCTAGGGAGAAGGTTTATGCAGAAAGCCAAGTTTTTTCCAAACCTGCCCCTCCCAATTAAAAGACACACTCCTTCCGTCTATGAAAAAACCCTCCCAAACATAAATCTTCCCAATCTTTATGGACAGATTAATCCGCACAGACACCTTTATCTGTATACTTGATAGAAAACCAACCTAACAGCTCTTGAGTATGGATTCAGAAGCTTCTGATCCATTTCAATCTTATCAATAAGCGGTTGTAACTGTCCGTATAAATACATTGAACTATCCAAGTGATTGTAAGTTGTAACCACAAAACCGAAATCTTGGACAAAACCAGCTCCAATGCACTAGGCTAGTCTTTTGGGGTTGACCTTTCTTAGAATGTGAAGAAGTTTTTTGCAGGTTCAATGAGAAATCTTTAGAAGTGATTCCATATAAAAGAAAAGAACATAGGTGAATCGATCAACTCTACCAAGCTTTGCTAGTTTTTGGGAAGCGACATCTTTGTATGCACTCCTTTTTCTTTAATTTTTCCAAAAGTTTTTTGCAACTCAAATGCATGAGCTTTCTAGTCAGGAAGAAGTAACTTGTTGCTCCAAATGTGATGTTGTTTTGTTTACCATCTCTATTAATTTGACATTGATGAATATATATATATATATATACACACACACACACACGGTATGCACATGTGCATACAAGTAATTGAAGATGTATCCTGGTTTCTGTGCATGTGTGCATGTTATGCACACATACTAGAAAAATTACTTACAAATTTCTTGTATGCACATATGCCTACCATACAAATCAATGGTTACTGGGGTGTTCCTCAGTGTCTCATTTTTTTTGTTGTTTCCCCCTGAACCTAACCCTATTATATATATATATATATATATATATATATATATATATATATGTATATGTACTTCCAGGTTGCAACTGATGGATCTTTGGGTAGTGCTTCTTCTTCTCAAAGGGATAATTCTCAAAGTTTTAATTCTGAACCAGCTTCAGATGTTAATTCACCGCAAGAGTCTTTGTTGCCTCTTATCAAAGATTTGGCATCTGGTATGGAAAATCTTAATCAGATGCATGCAAGTAATGACTCTAAACATCTGGCATCTGTGTTAACCTCTGATTATAGCTCAAAAGAATCTCTTACGCTTTCTTGTCAGTCAGAATCGAGTCATATGCATCCAATTAGAGAAAAAACTCATTCTTGTCCATCGAAAGGTCGAACTGGGAGAGGATCAGAAATGTATGCCACACCCATTAAGCCATCTTCTGTTGTTTGCTTCCCAATGGAGGACAGAATTCCTGAGAACGGAAAGCAGATTGTCGTTAAATTTGAGGAAAAAGCTGATAATAGTGGAAAACCAGAGGATACTGACTGTGCTTCCCCTATAATGCGATTCGACATCTGTCCAAGGAGTTCCGTTATAAAGATAAAACCTCCTTTACATGTGATAAACAAAGAAAAACGGAACCAACTTAAACGGTCTGTTGAAGGACAAAACTTCAAGATTTTGAGGCCCGGGATGGTACTCATGAAGGGCTATATTTCTTGCGATGAACAGGTATTGTTGTTGTTTTTAGATAGTTACAGAAATTTTTTATGATTTATAGCTTGCCAAGACTCTTGGAAGGTGTCAAAAATGGATGTTATGCTTCTTTCTTTGGCAAACATAGGTGTGATTTTTGTCTAACAATAAGATAAAAATGTGTTTCTGTTTCTTCTTGCAAGAAAATTAGTCTTCTATAAGATCTTGCAATTATAAGTTTAGCTTTGTTTATGCTTCGATTGTGCAAGTTTCACTTCTTGGCAGAAATTTACAAATCATCCTGTAGGGTGCGTTTGGTGAAGACAGAACTGGACACGACAGTTGTTGAGCGTTTGGTAAGACAGAATTGGACATGACTATACATATAAAATGACCAATTTACCCCTAATGAGTTGTTTACCTCTTTTATATATTTTGATTAATTTATGTAATTTATTAAATTATAATAAAATAAATACTTTTAAAACAAAATAATATCATTAGAATCAAGATGTTTAAAATGATACCAAAATAAAAAGTTTATATAGTTTCCAATTTTTTATTTATACATTTTCTATATTATTTTATTATTATTAACCGTAATATAGAAACCGTATAAAAATATAATTTTGAGGATAGTAAAATGACAGTTTAAAGAGTATAAAATACAATATATGAAATTTGAAGAATGGATAAAAATGTAATGGTGGAGACATATTTGATGTTTTAGAAGAGTTAGGTTTTATTTTGAGGTTATATTGGTAATATATAGGTTTGTTCCACCTTGTTCCATGGAGTGAAGGTGGAACATGCCTGTTCCAACTCTGTTCCACGTAAAAGTTCTGCCAAACATGGTACAATGATCCTGTTCTGTCTTGTCTTGTTCAGTATACCAAATGCATCTGTAGAGATGTTTAATAGAAACTTATACAGGGTACACAAAAATATTCTGATTGGCCTTTCATGATTGTTTTCTTCAGATCGGAATAGTAAAAACTTGCAGGGAGCTTGGTCTCGGTGATGGAGGTTTCTACCAACCTGGTTATCGTGATGGATCAAAAGTACATTTGAAGATGATGTGTTTGGGTAAGAATTGGGATCCTCAGACGAGTGAATACAGTGATACAAGACCAATTGATAATTCTAAACCTCCGGATATTCCTGATAAATTTCGTGATATGGTGAAAAAAGCAATACGAGATTCGAATGATCATATTCAGAAAAGCAATTCTAAAGCAGATGCAGGAACTATCATTCCCCCCATGTCACCAGATATCTGCCTTGTCAATTTTTATGCGAATAACGGCAAGCTTGGTCTTCATAAGGTTAGAAATTATCTTCTTTACGGTAAACCTGAATGGAAAATTAATGCAATTACTCACTAAAAAGAAAATCTGAAAATTATGGCGTATACTCATGCTAGAAGTTGTTCGATTTGCAAGAAGGTGAGAAGTTGGCATATGGGTTGTATCATGTATGATCACGTGTTCGTATCACATGTGTGATTTTGGAACTTCTTGTCTTCTCGCAAATTGACCACCGCCTCTTTGAACCCGACCCTATTGCCATATTAGCGAGGTTCAATGCTTATTTGTACTTGAACATGTTTATCAGTTCGTTTTATGAAATTCAAATGTGAAGTTAAAGAAAGCGGTATCACGTATGCAATAATAAGCTGTAAACTTGGATTTTAAGTTGTTATATATTACTAATAAGCATTGTATAACGTTTAATAAGTTGTTTTTACCGAATAATGAAAAATCCCTTGTGATTTGTTGGTTCCTTTTAGGACAAAGATGAAAGCTCGGAGAGTATTGATCAAGGATTACCCGTTGTCTCATTCTCGATAGGTGACTCTGCAGACTTCTTATTTGGGAATGTCGGGGATATTGACGAAGCAACAAGAGTTATTTTAGAATCTGGGGATGTTTTGATATTTGGTGGGAAATCAAGAAGTATATTTCATGGTGTCGCGTCTATTCGTCCTGATACTGCTCCCTTGTCACTACTAGAAGCAACAAATATGAGGCCGGGTCGGTTGAATCTCACTTTTCGACAGTTCTGAGTTCTTACCAACTTAAGGCTCGTTTAAGAATCCGTGAATCGGAATGTATTTTGTCACGAAGCTCGTTATGTGATTATGATTGAATCGGGATGTTAGATCGGTTAAGATTTGGGTGTTGTGTAGTAGGTATTTTGGTAACTTTTGCTGGATTTTCATAGGTTTGATTACTGGTCAAATATTAAAAATACCATTTGGAATGCACAACTTCTTGAACTAAATATAAATCCTTTTGGATCATATGAATGCAATTTCAAATTTTTGCCATAAATTGGATTATGAAATTAAAAAGGATGTAATTTTGTTCTAAAAATGAGTTAATTCTGGTTATAGTTTATGATCATGAGGGATTGTATGAGGATGACAGTTATGTTGAGAAGGTGGGAACATTTATGAGCGTTTGGATGAGTTGATTTTTTAATCTAACTTAATTTTATTCAGCTACATTCATCTACCTTCAACTACATTCATTTATCTATTTATCTTACTTTTATGTCACTTTCACAAACATTTACATACATTTAACCACTTTAACATGTATTTATTTTGTTGAAGTTAAAAGTCAAAATAACAATAATAGGTAAATAAAGATAATTGAATGTAACTAGAGGTATATGAATATTTTGTTCTCACATTCTTACCATAACTCTTATTCTTTATCACCCAACCCTGTAGTTCAATAGTAATGAATCACAGTAAAATTGGTTGATTTTTGGTTGTACTTTTATTGATGATGAATCACAACCGTCAGGAGAAAACGATGTTGGGTTGTTTTTTTAACTATGGATGTCTGAACCAGTTTATACTTATCTACATAAATCTCAAGTCTCAAACGATCTTATAAAACAAGCAGAAAAATCTCAAGTGGCCTTAGAGAACAGGCAAAAAAAAATCTTTAGGGGCCTTAGAGAACGACCATAGAAAAATCTCCATGGCCCCGAAGAACATCCAGAAAATCTTCAGTGGACTTGAAATAAACGGAATTGGCGACCATGTTGGGTTGTTTGATTCGGTTTTGATGTGATATAATGTATCAATATTTCAACGGTGGATGTCCAGATCAGCTTGTTCGCAATTCGGTTAATCTCAAAGGGTCTTGTTGTACAGGTAGAAATATCTTCTAAGGCCCCAAAAAACAACCAAAAAAATCAATCAAACATAATGAGAAACATTAGGCAAGAATTTTTTGTACAATAACTATGAACATTTGGGTATGATTAACAACAGTTTACCAGCCTCTCTCCATCACCATTTTGTTGGTTTAATTTTGATGTATTTGTGGCTGCAAATATCTTGTAAAGGTTAATTTGTATGTTCGGGTTCAAACTCTTCGCCTGTAAGAGTTCATATGTGAAACTTCCAAATATTCTTCATCTTCTTCATCATCAGACAAATACGATGTTCCCATCCATGATCTGAAGCCTTCATTCACCCGTCTCTCCATTTCTGGTGTGAATTCGACAGGATTAGCTTCCAACATTTCCACCCCGATCATCTGCCCACCAAGATCGCCATCATCAAGAACCATGACTGTTTTCCTTCTGAGCAGGGAAGCTGTCACCCCGTATAGAGTAACTAGTCCCCATGATGCAATCTCGTAACACCAGAATAATGGGATCGAGCAGCCACTCCTCCCAAGTGTCAGGAGAGTCGAACCAAGAAATATTGCGAGAAGACCAAAAGCGATTGCAAACATGAAGTTGAGAATGAATAGGCATCGCACACCTCCTGTAAAAATAACACAAACGGGAGTTACCTGAACAACTGTTGGAGTCCACATCGGCCAGACTTGGGTCATTTATCCATATTCCCACAAACATCAACAGATTGAGAAGGTAACCTCTATTTGGAGCACAATAGTTATTCTCAACCACCTTTAGGCATCCATGTCTTGTTGGAGCAGTATAAGCTACAGTGATTCCTGCAGGTCAGTTACTTTTGCTGATTAAACACACCGCCTAATTTCTGATGATATCAGTTTTGCTTTCAATAGATAAGTAAAAAAGGGAACATTGAAACACGCAATAGAAAAATGTAATCAGAAGCTGAAAACTGTTGACTAAATGGGGCTGTTTGGTTGGTTTTCTTTTAAGTCCTGTATGGATAAAGTTGTCTGTTTGGATTAATCTTGCATAGATTGGGAAGGTTTTTGTTTGGGGGAGTTTTTCATAATTGGAAGGACCGTGTTTCTTAATTGGGAGGGACAGGTTTAGAAAAAAACTTGGCTTTCTGCATAAAGCTCCCCCTATAAGCTTACTGAATAAGCCACTTTCTATATCATTAAGCCATTACCAAAGAGTCATGTATAGCTGACCGAATAAGCTGTGAGTCTCATTAAGCTGATTGATAACAAACAGGTCCATAATGCTAAAATCAAGGTTTGAAACATCTAACTCTGTTTTTCAAACTGAACAATATCCTAAATTTTCACACAGTTTTGGAACTTTATTTCTAGAAATGAAACGTATAGGGTTGTAGAATCCATCTATTAGATATTATAGCACTAACTAATTTAAGAAACCCCTAACAGAAAGTTAAACATACAAAGGCACTCCTAGCTTACCAAAAGGAGACATCTTTGAAAATGTAGCATTTTGTTTCTTAGTCCTTCTCCATAAGTCACAACAGTCTGCAATGGCGGTTTCACCTTCCTGGAAAAATAAGGTGAATGGTAGTTAGGGAGACTCTGGTTTTGTAGCCATTCTGCCTACCTAAAATCTTTTAGGGAACAATTGATGTTCATAAAGGTTGGATTGATGTTACATATATTTCCACTTCACCATTAAGAGTCTCTCTTGGGATGGAAACCGGGCCATACCATGTATTTGCAGACTTACTATCCTAGGTTGGATTGGAGTTCATCTTTTGTGGTTTGCTATCCGAGGATTCTGCAAACATGACTGATTAAGACATAAGAATCTAGTTCCAAAATTCTGATCAATTTAAAAAGCACTACTTCTGAGATACCAAAATTGCAGATGGAAGCTTTACTTCTCTTATTCAATGAGTTAGATGCAGCTGTTGTCAGTCTATCGTAAGTTGAACATAAAAGGTAATGCATCAGGAAGAACAATCTTTAGCACCATCAATCTACAAAGCATTCTCTCTAGAGACTCAATAAACTAGATTTCTAGAAGATAGCAATCCTTTGAGAAGATTGATCTTATGAATTAACGATTACCAAAGTTGTCCTGCACAAATACCACAAACATAGGTTCATTGAACACCTATAATCATGATCAAGTGAAAACGGATTGATTCGTTAAACATTATACAGATAGGTAAACATCTAAATAATTACTCGATTCATATACATAATAATCATATAAACAGCCACCAATCAAATTCGTTACCTGCAACAAAATAAACTGCAGAAAACACGAAAAGACACGCCGATGGAAGAAACAAAACCATCCAGTAATAATCAATGATCTCTTGATCTGCAATATTGAAATCACCATCCGTACGATCCTCCGCAATGCTGCGGATGTGAGTTGTTTCCGTTTCGATTCGACGATGTTTGCAGAAAGGTCGGCTTTGAAGATCACTAGGAAACACCATTTTCAAGCTGATTGAAGTAGAAATTAAAATCAAAAGCATAACGAAGATGAAAATGAAGATCACGATCGGTCTTTGTAGCTTAATGCAAGCTTTATCTTCATCACGGAGGCTCTCGTACTGGTGTTTGGGCATCACTACTTGTCGTAGAGCATCTCCTACGATCGCCATATCTTCAAATTCATATGATGTATAAACCCTAGGTAGGTTTATACGTATATATACGTACACGGTATGGGGTGTTTGGGATTGGTTATTTAAAAAGTCTTATGTTTTCTTTTCTAAAACGCTTATTAACTTATGTGGTATCAAATCAGAGTTTTATAAGAAATGTTTGTATTAGCTTATAGTGATACCAAAAAACAATAAACTAATAAATTGTTCTTTAATGTTTGATAAATTTTGCTTATATATGTAAAATGATCAAAAAATACAGTTTTTCCTATTACCGGCTTGTTTGATTTTTTTAACATGAAAAAATTTATTTTTCATCATTTATAATAATTTTTTTGACAAAAATTTATATCAATAAAATTAATAATTAACTAACATTGGTAATAAGCAGTTTTTCATAAGTCAAAAATGATTAACTTATCAAAAACTGCTTATTACCGGTTTGACACCGGTATAAACAGTTTTATTTTTTCTCATCCAAACACTAGCATTTAACTTATTACCGATGTCAAACTAAAATAAATCAAAAAAACACCTAAAATAAGCAATCTCAAGCACCTCCTGTATATCTACACTTAAATACAATCGGGCACGGGAAATATAACTTTCTATGCTTTCTGTAACAGTAAAAGTGAAAAATATACCTCAATTATGCATTCTTTCAAATCTATGCTTGAAATTGCATTTCTTCCAAATTTACTCCTTGCTTCTTTTTTCTCCCCAAATTGTCTTTTTTTCATTTGATTTATATCCTTTTGAGATCATGTTTAAGGGCCGTTTACCAAACACTTACTCGGTAAATGCTTACCGGCAAAAAATAACACTATCATTTACTTACCGGGTAAGATTTTAGTCCATCAAAATGGTATCGTATGCAACAAATTTACCCGGTAAGTACTTACTGTAGTAAGAGTCGTTGCCCTCACTTATCAGGTAAGACTCTTGGTCCTTGTCTTACTCTTATCGGATAAGATTTTTGGTCCTTACCATATTCATCCGATAATGTAATGTGATTTGGTAAACACTTACTCGGATAAGCATTTGGTAAACGGTGTCTTAGTAACTATACAAAAGCCTCATTTAAATAAATAAAAATTAACTTAATTTATTAAATAGTTTTCAAAAGAATTAATGCAATGCAATCCAATCCAATCAACAGATCAAAAGTTATGGCTTTCTAAAATTCAATTTGATAATACATAGGAAAAGGTTGTTGTATGCACAACTATTTACATTAAAATCAGATCAAATCATACGTTGAAATATGCAGAAAGAAGAATATATGACACCAATTATTTCAAACAAAATACTAAAATTAAAACCAATTTATAAATCAAACACATATCAACTCCATACATATAATCTCAGCTCTTGGGCTTCACTTTGCCAAAATCAACCAAATCTCCAAATAGCTTGTCTTCTGCCTTTGAAGCCTTTGGCTTATGAACATAAGATGCATTCGCCATCGATGGACCACTGTAAACGCTGCTCACCGACATCCCCACCATTCTCTGATCTGTATATTGCGCGTTTTGTTGCTGACCGTACCCATAACCATAGCCACTGCCACCGCCACCATAGCCGCCATAGCCACCACCATAAGCTTGTCCCATTTGGTTACTGTACATTTGCTGAGCCATTTGTTGAGGATACATGTAACCCATTTGGCCAGGTTGAGTTTGCTGCATACCTCCTTGGAATTGGAATTGGAATTGTTGTTGAGGAATTTGATGGGTATAGACTGGCGGCGGCTGGTTGTTCATTGGCGGGAGATAGCTGCCTGCGACTTGCTGCTGCTGTTGCATGTTCATGTTCCCTCCATAAGGTTGAGACGACTGTGTGCCATTGTCGGCAGAAGGCTGAGCTTCCCACGGTGGTGGCGGCAGTCCACCGCTAGTTGGACCACCTATAAAACCCCAACCACATTATCAATCCAACGCACAACTAAGGGTGCATTTGGTATCCAGACAGGATAGGATGTAACAAGACTGGACAGTTGTTCAACGTTTGGTAAGACAAAACTGGAAAAGACAGAACAAATAAAATGACCAATTTATCCTCAATGAGTTGTTTATATATTTTGATTTATTAATATTTAATAAATGACATAAAATAATCAAAACATAGAAACCATATAAAAACAATATTTTGAGAACACTAAAGTGAGTTTAAAGACCATAAAATACAAAGTAAAAAGGGAGGCATATTTGATGTTTCAGAAGAGAATTATGTTTTATTTTGAGGTTATATTGGTAAAATATACGTTTGTTCCACCTTTTTTCATGGTGGGGGTAAAACACGTATGTTCCACTATGTTCTTGTTCTACCAAACGTGGAACGGTGATCCATGTTCTGTCATGTCCAGTGTACCAAACTTAAAAGAGTCGTAAGCGCTTTAAGATTTGACTTTCACTCACCGAAACCTGGTGAAGGCGGCTGCTGCTGCTGCTGTTGAGCCATATGGCCATTCCATGCCGGATTAGACCCTTGATTGTACGAGGACCATGGCTCCGGCTGTGGTTGAACACCATTTCCATTTGGATAAAATGCAGGCGGCACATTTTGAGGCTGTTGGATTTGAGGTGAAGAAGAAACGTTTTGCACATTGTTACTTTGTGAAAACATGTCCACAAGGGCTAACGCATTGTGCTGAGATACAGGCGTAGCAGGCTGAGCTTCACCCGCCGGTACAATCGCTAGGCTATTTCCGGCAGTCGGTGAGTTAAAGTCATCACCGCTCAAAAGGTCAAACTTGGGTTCGACCTTTGCTGGAGTTGCCGGAGGTCCATTAGTTGTAATAGGAGCAAGAGACAGCAAATCCGCCTCTGCACCACCACCAGTGGCGGATCTGCAGAAAGAAGCGGAACATTGAAGGGTATTTTAGACATTTGACAAATTAAGAAATAATTGAATTACTTCACCTGATTCAAACACGTTTCCATGTTGTAAAAGAAATCTTGATTACCTCGGTTGTTTGGTATCTCCTGCATCAATAAGAGGAGCATCAACGGGTACTAATGCTTGACTAGTTTCGGGTTTCGATTTTTCAGATGGAGCAGGAGTTCCAGTAAGAAGTGCTTCGTGTTTGGCCAAGACTCGTGCCAAATCGTCATTCAGAGCTAATCCTTGACATAATAACGATTCATCCCTGAGGCGCAAATAAGAGAAAATTCGGCTGAGCAGAAAAGGAGTGAATGAAACTAAAACATGCAAAATCATGTACAAAGTATACAGTTCCTTTGGGACTTAATTTCATAGGGATTAGATGTTTAAAACCATTCCATCAAACCAAACGCCCCCTAAATATTCATGAATATATGTCATAATATTCATCATGAGTAATAATCGAAGAATAGTTGATTCTCAGGTTCTCAAAATATTTACGGTTCTCATTTGAACCTTCCCCTATCAAAAGCAATAAGAGCAACAAATAATGCGGATGCATGAAGTCAACTAGTCAAGCGTAGAGTTAGACAAGGTCTTACGAAGTCGAGTTAACCAGGTGCACGACTCTTCGCTTGTATGTACGACACTGCTCCACCAAGTCCACGATAACCTCTTGCCGGAGACCCTGATTCCGAAACCGAGAAAAACAAATTAATTAATACATCTATTTACGGAACAAAAGGGTTCGATTGACAATTATACCTCTTTCTTTTCGGGATCAACTGCAGTCAGCATTTCGGCAAGAACATCCATGATACCACGAGCATTCTGAATTTCTGTCAAGCTGAAAAACACAACGACAAATATCCATAGAATAAAACAATTTATTCACGATAATGTGAGTCGATATAAGAAGTTTTATTCCATAGAAACAAATAAAACCGACTCCCGTGATTATATATGGAATTTTTTCATATAAAAACTGAAATATAACTTCATAATATACCTCAAGACTGGAAATTCGGCATCTGCAGAAGTCTCGGTGGTTTCGTTCCCATTTTCTGGAATACGCAGATTGTGTGGATAGGACGTTAGAGGCTGTGTTTGTGGGGGTGTAAAAACAGGTGCTGATCTCTCGGATTTCTGTGGAAATACCGCCCCTAAACGCTGAAACATAAAGTATGAACCTTAGAAACGGAGGTTAATGTTCTTTGCCAAGTTAAAAACGGCAAACAGAGCAAAATGCATCAAAATGTAACTAAATTATGACAAATTTTACCAATAATTCATGGTATGCAGCATAGTATTGGGGATATCTCGCCCTTGCCCCGCCAAAAGCTTCTTGCCATGTATCTATTAGAACTAATATTTTCTCTTTTACATGAAAATCGGGCTGCAATATAATCAAAACCGTCAACTACAAATTTAACCAAAAAATGGTTGTGATAGAATACCGACATCGGTTACTTAACAAAGGCCTAACCTTTTTTTTCACTATTTTCACCATGTCATTAAGCACAGCTCTCTCCGCTACATGCATATGAACAAAATCCCCGCAATTCTTCACAATCGTCTCCAATAGCTTTACAAGTTAAACAAGTTGAGAAATTATTTCTTCAAAGTAATTTGCAGTTTTCAAGTCAGTTTTTGAGTTTTGGTCCAATTGTAATGGATCTTGATGCATGAAAATGAATAAAAGCAATGGAAATATAAATGCATTCGGTTTTGTGCTTCCAGTGGCATGCCAATTCTAGGTTTCTAAATGAGCATTCTAATATATCTCGCACCCCATATTATGGAAAGAAAGTAAATACAAATTCATGCATCATTCAGCTCCAAATCAATTCAATTACCTAAGGAAATCCAGAAAGCTAATTTAAAAGGATAAAAAAAGAAGCAAAAAGAACAAACGAAAATTCTTGTGTGAGTTTACAGTTTTTTTTCTATAATGGTGTTCAATGTCCGGGCCAGCTTGCAGGCGCCTCTACTTTGAAAATAACACGTACATATGCATGTATGTATTTATGCATGTGCTTGTATATATACATACACGCGTGTGTACATATATATATATATATATATATATATATAGAGAGAGAGAGAGAGAGAGAGTCGGGATCATGTGAGAAATTTTCATTTTTGTGAGAAAGTGAGAAAAAATGAAGGTACCTTGATACTATGTGTATGTTGTAACCTTCAAATGTGTATCTGAAGTGTGAAGGATATTTTATACTGTGTGAAGGTTGTAACATTCACATAATATAAGGGTATCTTCACAAATCTCGTGACAGACCTTCACACGATATAAGGTGCCTTCACCTTCTCACAAAAAGAGTTCTCACTAGAACCTAACCTATATATATATATATATATATATATATATATATATATATATATATATATGCACATATAGAGGGTTGGATTCAAGGGAAAACCACAAAAAATTGAATTCATTTGTACGGTATGCACACATATGCACATGTGCATAACATATACACGTGCATAGAAACCAGGAAACATCTTCAATTATTTGTATGCACGTATGTATATCATACGGATGAATGGTTATTAGGGTGTTCCTTAGTTTTTCATTTTTTGGGGGTGTTCCCCTGAACCTCGCTTTATATGTGTGTGTGTGTGTGTGTATAGATGGCAAATCAAATTCAAACCTTTTAAATGTTGCAAACCTGCAAACCAATATTTGTGGAAATGATGAAGGTTCATTTTATTATAATTTGAGTAATTATGAAAGATAATTGGAGTTCATTAATTATGATCAATGCTTTATATTAGGAAACAATCAATATATTTATGAAACCAGATATATGTTAGACTAGATGGACGGTTGAGATTGATTTGTATGGTTTGTAACCTTTCCATGGTTCGTATTTGAGTGGGACTATATATATATATATATATATATATATATATATATAGGGAGGAGAGAACAGATCAAAGTAGCACATCAAGATTCCAACAGATTCTTTCTACACACTAGTTCAATCAAGAATGAAAAGAATGTGCCAAAATCAGATAAGAAAATTGATATTATGTGGCATACGTATTCTTTAGTTAGCACGAAACTTTGCCAATGAGCTGCCACACAAAAGGTGGAAGTTTACACTTCCTAGTTGTTTACCCTGCCCCAAAATAAACGACACTTATAAGGAGATATTAGTCTTATCCAAAACAACATCATGACTCTCAACAATCAACATACAAGAAAATAAGTCGTTTTCTTTGTGCTTACTGTTAATGCAAGAAGTTGCACTTTTGGATTCTTGCTTCCAAGACGCTTTTTTATGCCTTTAACAACATCTTTTGCTTGCCTGAAAAACCATTGCATCAATGTTACCACCACATGCATGAACCAATGATAAACCAACAATCAATGCGTAAAAGTTGTATTTCCACTTACAACATAAAAAAGAAATCGATCTTTGAAGAAACAAAAAAGCAAATTTCATCAATAAAGTCAGTCAAATTAAGTTCAAAACCAAACGACCCCAGTATATCGCACCTAACCTCTACCCTAAAGAGTAGAGTTGTTGTTTCTAAGAAGACCCCCAACTAGTGGGAAGTGTGTGAAAGTGAAAAAAAAACAGAGTAGCTAAGATTTGAAAAGCTAGATATGAATAAGCAATATCAATGCATATAGAAAGACAAAAAGACAGATATAAGGGTGTTTAGCTGGTTTTCCATCAAGTCCTATATGGATGAAGCCATCTATATGGATTGTGAAGATTTTTGTTTATGATGGTTTTTTCATAGATGGAAGGAGTGTGGTTTTTAATTGGGAGGGGTAGGTTTGGAAAAAACTTGACTTTTCGCATAAGGGTCCTCCAAAAGCTTACTGAATAAGCCACTTTCTATATCGTTAAGCAACTACCAAACAGTCAAGTATAAATTACCAAATGAGGTGTGAGCCCCATTAAGCTCATTAGGTTGCTAACAAACAAGCCCTAAGCAATAGCCCAATTAAGTTCAAAGGGATTGAGCACAATAAGTATATATGTATAGATTGAAATAGCATATGTATTACGTTGTCAGGTTGTCAACGTACCTATATGTATTTATGTGCTTTTTGGACACCCTCCTCTAAGCTATAGATTGGGAGTGATTTCTACCCAACCCATTTATCATGGTATCAGAGCAAATGAATTACCACTACACGAAAGGGAGGGTATTGCACCAGTTTTTGTCCTATATCATCATGTTTTCAAGATACATAAATAGAGGGCTCATCAAATGCAACCCTCTTGAATGTTGCAACTGATGCAACTTCATCTACACCACACAATTAAACAATCAACGGTTGGGGTCTGGGGATAAGGTGGTTGCGGTTGGGGATAAAGCGGTTACACTTTTGAAAAAATAAAAATGAAAATACTCCTTAAAAGAGGGATGATCTACGGTTAGGATTAAATTTCATTGGGTTGCATTTGATTTGCATTCTACATATATTGGTTTGGGTTAGGTACCATCCTCCTTTGAACAGAAATAGGAATGGAGATGCCGAAAAACTTGGGTATTTCTTCAATTGGGCTGAAACCCCCATGAAAGGCTATGCTCCAATAGCTGCAACCCCAATTTTACCCTAAGTCCTAACTTCTGGTCGACTCATTTCATCCAAGCAAATAAACTAAAGATCTTCTATCGCACTTCAACTTATTATTCAGTTTGCCCAATTTGCCCAATTTCTTGAATCCTACTCAAAACTATAACTTAAATATAATCTAATTAGATAACCACAAAGACCCTAAAATTCTTCGGTTCTAAGCAAGTTCCATTTCGAGATGATCGATTAATTCAAACCTAATCAAAAACTTATACAAAACAAGACATCTATCGACTTACTTTCTACACCATGGATGACGATTAAGGAAACAAGAACATTTTGTATGATTGAATAAATTAGAAATGAAAAGGGGGCAAAGAAAGCATACACAGGATCATGGTTACAGATATCACAGATCTCAATGTTCATCGCCCAATCAGGACCTATAAGCATCTCGCTTGTGGCTCTTCCCACCATGGAGTTCACCATTTTTTATCCAAGATAATCGGAAGATCAAGAAATCACCGTAGTTGATCGGAGTTGGAATTAGTATGTTGATCGACTGCAAACCCAGAAAGAAGAACAAAATCTGAAGTTGAAAAACGAGAAATTATGGATCAAACAGTCAAAGCAGGCGGAGATTTAATGGAAAGGGTGGGTTGAAGTCCAAAGTCAACAGATTGGAATGAATAATCCGCCTGCCTTGTGTTTCTCTAGAACCAGGACTGTAGGACCAAATGGAAAAAGTTAAACTTCGAGTAATTTGACATGAAATTATAAACGTATAAATTTCATTGGCTTTGATGAAACGGAATGGATTTAAAGGAATTTGTATTTTAAATTCATTTTTATTTTATATTTGGTTTGTTAAATTATTTGGATTTGAAATCTTATGATTTAATTGAAATCTTTCCAATATAGGATTTTGAAATTCGTAGGGAGGGCTTGGGATTTCGTAGAAATATACACATTAAAGTTTTAAAAAGTGTTAAAAACATTTGTTTTGTAATAATTGATTAACAAAAATGTAATTCAATTGTTTTTATAATTTTTTTATAAATAATAAAATCTAATTTCATTCCAAATCCTACAAATCAAACACGCCAATGATTTCAAATTCATTTCAATCCAAATCCCTCCATGAAATTCAAATCCATCAAAAACAATCATGCAACCAAAATAGACCTTAAATATTTTAAATTGTATGTTAAATTATTTTTAAATGCACTCCTATCTTAATATTAGGTTAAACTTTTAAAAACTACTATTCAGATACTATTTATTAATATATATATATTATTTAAAATTCAAGATTATATCTTATCAAAACTTAATGTTTGAATTCATCTAACTAATTACATATAAACATATTAAATACCATATACACATTATGAGATGAAACACTTATTTTTATTTTCTAAAACATCTAAAATTTTAAAAATTCTTCATATAACTAATTGATAAATACAAGAAAAATCCGAGATAAAACACCTCATCTCTAATTTTTTTATTAAAGTATATTATCTTTTTAATTTTAATTATAAAATATCTTAAATATAGCTATCATTTAAATTAAAAGATTTTTTACCGTAACAAAATACTTTATCATTATCTTTTATATAAAAAAAATCATAATTAAACTATAATAAAATATATTTTTATTTTAAATCTAAATTATGATCAAACTTAAATTAAATAAATGAAACCTGAAAATTAGAATTTTATAATCTTTAGTTTGAAAGGCATCTTGATATGTATTTCAGATAAAATAATAATCATCTCGTCTCTAACTTTCTCAAAACCGTAAAATAAAATTGAGAAATACAAACAACAAAATAAAACACGGATCATGATTGAGGGTTCGAGTTCAAAATTTCAGAAGTGCATTACATTCCGCATGTACACTTCTACTATACATTAACATGAAAACCTACTTTTTCGATTTTCAATGCATAACTTAACTTGATTTTGACATTGAAAGTGGTGTATATATATATATAGCAATGTCCATATTTAATGTTATGTTACTGTACATATTTAATGTCAGAATAGGTCAAATCATACATTGAAAATGTAAAATATAAGGGGCTGTTTGTTTTTAAAAAAAAAACCTCTTAATACCCTCTGAAGTCTGAATCGGTCAGACCTTAGGGTATTAAGGGTGTTTGTTTTTTCTTTCAATTAAGAGCTGAATTTGTGTGTTTTTGTCTGAATCGGTTAGATGTAAAAAAACCTCTGAAAACCTCTTAATTTTGGATTCCCCTACCTCTCGATCTCGATCTCTCTCACGCAATCCACAGCAATCGGTCTCTCCATCCGCCACCACTCCGGCACCACCTCCCACCCTTTCTCCACCACACAAATCTCACCTGATCGATCACCGTCTCCGGTTCTTAAAGCATCGGATGCACTGCCTCCTCCTTCATCTACCTCCTAGGGTTTTTCGGCATCGATTTCGTTCAATCCTTCRGAATCGWAGCTTGGGGACTGCCTTARGGCTGCTTCGATTCGACGGCAGGCGTTGGAGAGGACGACGGGGAGGTCGTTGTTAGGGTTGCCTTGGATGCTCTGATTGCTCTCTCGATTTCCGGCTTCAGCTCTTCACCTCTATTGATTTCATCATTATCCCTAAAAGTGTGAAATCCTGCTCGATCTAATGCTTCATAAAGATGATCGGTAAAGGAAGAARAAGTGGAAGCCATTGAAGTTTGATAAAGAGAGTCTAGGAGGATGGAATATGTTTAAGATGGAAATATGAACAGGGTCTAAATTCTTCAGGGTTGAAAAGTCTTGCAAGGCATTTCAATTGAATTTTTGTTTTCTATTGTGTTTTGAATCAATTGACGCATTTCAATTGAATTTTTGAATGTGTTAAAAGTATATGRTAGTTTACAAATGGTTTAAATGATTGGATATTTCAGTTAAATTTAATTGAAATGAATTGATTCAGATTTCAGACGTAAAAACAAACAGTCTGACTGATTCAGATTTCAGACTTCAGCACCACCTCTTAAAATTCAGAAGTGAATTCAGACTTCAGACTTCAGCACCTCTTAAAAAACAAACGCCACCTAAGTCTTAATGTTGATATATGTGAGATAAAATTTGCAGATAAAGGTGACATTAACAATATACTCTATGTATCCGTCTCAATCTGTTATTCTTCTACGGTTCTACCTTGTCCTTGTTATCACTTGATATTAGCGGAAAAATTCATTTCCCCAGTTAATGTACGTTATTGTAATTGTAAATGACGAAGTACAGTTAAGTATACAAAGTAAATGAATCTTTTTACAGTGGTGATTCCCAGGTTACACGTCTCATTTATGATGATGATGGTACAATTATAGGTTTTAATTTTATCTCAGGCGTTTTTACGTACTAAAACTTTCAATTGGTTATAAACAAGTACCCACCAAGACCAGATTATACGATGAATCGTCGAACTCAAATCTGATGAACCAAGTGTCCACTCTAGTTAGGGCAATCCATCACTTTAAGGGCTATGTTTGGCAAACTAACTGATAAGCTAGCTGTTAGCAAATAAACTGGTTAATGAACAAATCATGTTTGAAAACTAGCCAATGAGAATATAAAATGACCAAAAAAATGTATCTTGAAAAATTTAGTAATTATAGTATTTTAAAATATAATTGAAAACGAATATCTAATAATATAATTTATTAACTAATACAAATAAGATGGTAAAAATAAAATAAAAATATAGTATATT